TGATGATGATGATGGCAGCAGAAGACCTGACATTTATTGTTTTTTATGTGCCAGACACTGTTCAAAATCTGTCATCTGTTGTATTTGTTAAGGACATTTTAACTACTCTAACAGATAAACCCTAAAAATCTCAGGGATTAGTACAACATAACATCATTTCTGAGGCACAATAAGCCCAGTTAGTGTTGGGAGTGGTAGCAAGCAAAGTCATTGTTCCACAAAATCATGCAAAGGCAGAGCCGACCAAGGCTCTGCCGGCTTCAATGCGTGGTTTCCAAGGTTGCCCTGGGCATTGGCATCTCTCCAGCAGGTGGGATAGAGGCTTGGGAGGATTATGCTGGAGGTTGTCATGAACCAGGTCTGAAGGTGGCCTACATAAGTTTCCACTTATATTCTCCAAAACCCCGCACATGCCCCCCATCCAGATGCAAGAGGAAGGGGCTGGCAAGCAAGGCGGAGCTCACATTTCGTCTTTGTCGGGCAATCGCTTGTGCTGCTCATCCATTCCATAGTACATGCCTCACACAATAAAACGGAGGGCTGGGTGCTATTATTATCTCTGCTGTTGAAGATGGAGAAACCGAGGCACAGAAATGGTGGGGCTAAGATTTGATCCCAGGTAAGTTAGCTATTTGTCTGAAAGTGATAGCCATGTCAGAGTTGTGCTTAGACTCACCATCCACAAAACACCTAACAGCTCCGATGTCTGTACTGCAAGGATCTGTGGCAGCAGCCTCTAACGTGGTGATCCCACATGACCCCCATCTTCTGGTCTTCACAGCCATAAGTAATCCTTTCCCCTTGAGCATCTTGCTTCTAACCAATAGAATATGGCCACGTTGAGAGACTGTCACTGCTGTCATTAGATGAGAAGAGACTGTGACTTCCTTCTTGCCAGCAGACACTCTCTTGCTGTCTTAAATGAAGCAAGCTGCCATATTGCAGAAACAGGACGGCCTCTGGCCAACAGTCCCTGAGGAAGGGAATCCTGCCAACAGCTACACGGGTGAGCTCACAAGCAGCTCTCTCGTGGCTTGAGGCTTCAGGGGAGACGCCAACCCTGCCTGACACCTTGATGCAGGTTCCTGAGAGACCCGGGAGCATAGGACCTCGCTAAGCCATGCTCAGATTCCCGACCCCCCACAATAAATGTGTGTTGTCAGCTGCAAGGATTTGGAGTGCCCGCATGGTTAAGCAGCAATAGGTAACTGATAAACCATCAGAAGCCAGGAATTCACAACTTACAGGTATTTTATTACCATGGATCTTATTCATTATGATTTTATGCCCTATAGACCTGTAGATCTGAAAAATTCTCTCCCTCAAGCAAACCACACTGAGCAAGAATTTATTTTCTTTCCCATTTTTAACATTCACTGAAGCTTTATCCAAAGGGATCTGCAGTAAAATCAGAGCTCTAACATGCTTGTAACATCACCAACAGCCAAAGCATTGGAAGAAATGGCATCACACCAAGTTCAAATACGTCTTACCCAAAGCAAAGAAACTTGGTGTTGCTTCTAATCCCTTGTGCAGAGCCTGGGGTAGATGATGATTTCCAAATGAGGTTCAGAAATCTTGAAAATAATATTGTCTGGGAGCTATTTGGGGAGCTTCATGTAGATTGCTTTATATCATTCTCATAACAACCCTTTGATAGGTGCTACTATGGTGCCCACTTAAATTCAGACATGGGTCCCCTGACTGCAAAGTTCCTGCTCTTACCCAAAAGATCACACCACCTCCTCTGGGGTGGAAGTGACTTTCCCAAGGTCATACAAAATTAAGGCACACTGTCTGCTTGCCTCAGAGGTCACTCTGGTCATTGTTTCCTGTCTACATCAGAAACACTCAAGCATTCTGAAATAAAGTCTGTTTTGTTGGAGAACAGACTTAAAAGACAGAAACATCAAGTGAGGCAGCATCTGGCCTGTTCAAAGCCTCCAAGTCAGTGACAGCCAGTAGATGTTGGAACAGGGAATGTGGCATCGTGCAACACTTCTCAGGTGTGGCCCAGGAGCCACTGCTTTGTGATGATAGGGTGTCTATTACAAACACTGAATCCTGGGCCCCCATTCAGACCTACCTCATCTGAATCTCTGTGGGGGAAGCTTAAAAATCAGCATTTTTATCAAGTTTCCCCACTAACTCACATGCTCATCCAAGTGAGAACTACTGGTATAGTAGTTAATATGAGCTCTGGAGTTCAAATCCCAGTTCCACCACTTACTCCTTAAATCACAATTGCTCAAGTTGTAGATAGATTTCCCAGCTCCAACGCTAATCGTGCTACTTTATGCATCGGTGAGGGTCAAATGTGACAATGCATGTAAAATCTTCAACAGTGTTTGGCACATAGTGGGAGCTCTACAAATAGACCTGATATGATTGTTGTGTATGAGTTGTCGCCATGCAGTGGCTGAACTATTGGATTTTTAGTGTTTAAACCCAAACCCAACCCCAAGGCAAGATTCTACTGCATCCTGAGGGATGTGATGTGTGCTGATCAGTGAATGACTCCACCCCTGGACAGTTTCCAAGTACGGGAGGAGCATCCCCTGTCATCCGTGCTTCTCTGATAACTAGAATTACGAGAGAGAGAGAGAGAGAGAGAGAGAGAGAGAGAGAGAGACCATGAGATCTCCTCAGGAAGACACCAAGTGACCATCTGGCCAATGAAGGGTCTCCAAATCCCAGTGAAAGAACACTGCCTCTGACTACAGACTGTGGTCCACTATCCCCTTTGCTTGACATTGACAACTTCCCTAAGTATCTGGTGAGTGGAAGCTCCATTCCCAGAGACCTCAGAACTCTGGCTTTGAGCAGCCCCTGTGAGCTCCTGACTCCATCCGTTGGGTCTTTAGGACTTCAGTACACAATGTCTGATTTCCAATTACTAGTAGATGCATGTCTGTGCCTAGGGCTTTCTCCAATGGAAATGCCTCTGACTTGGAAATGTCTGAATATCAACACTCCCTGAAAGCAATGCTCAAATGATGTCCGATGGGAGTCAGTGTGTTGACACCCATTAGGGTGCAATGACTTTGAGTGTGTGCTAATTCTATACCTTTTCCCAAAGTTCCCCTATTGCCTTAAACTCCAGTCAGTCACTGTGGTAGCTGGCACGATAAAGTAACCATTTTTGACTGCTTTCCTTTCTTTGTCTCACTTCCCCACCCCCTACCAGCATCCCCTTCTGCTTCTCAAATAAACTAATTGCCCTCAAATCTGTGTCTCAGAATTCCTTTCCAGGGAACCATACCAAGGCAGATTTCTGAAAATTTCAAACTTAGTGCTGACAGAAGCCAGGCCAGAAATCAAATTTAATAAATAGGGAAAGATTCCCATCCTTTCAATATTTGTGTGTTTCACAACCCTGGTCGCTGGTACAAACAAAAGTGCAAATCTTAGCAAGATTCTTGACCATTAAGGATACATTTAGTTATAAACAGGAGACGTAGCAATGGGACATTTTTTAAGGCAGGAAGTGAACTAAGAGACACGACACAGGCTCATTATAAAGGCTTCAGACAAAATAGCCTGCTGGAAAATGTGTCTGAATTGCTCTTAACTAAAATGTTGCCTTCCCTGTAAAGGTTTCCCATACACTCCAAATATTCAAAATTTAGCTCTCTATGCTAATAGTGGTGCCCCCTGATGAAAATTCAGGTAAGGATATTGGACCCTAGAAAGATACATGGCAAACCCAACAGCATCACATATAATCAGTTTTATTGCCAGGTAAGAAATTCATATTAATATAGTGAATACATATGTTTACAAATAAACATTCTTAGAAAACAAACAAATGTTTTTTGTCTTCATTGTAGGAAGTGTTATTGGTATCATAAACTCTGCAGTTGTTGACGAGTATTAACACAGGTTTACTTGCAGAACATACGGTTACTAAAATATTCGCACATAAAATATGCTCCATTTGCACAAAAACCTGGGGGGTTAGATGGGGAGGCCAGGTGGAGCCCAAGGCGGATGGAGGCTGAGATGCTCTGGGAAGGCCAAGGGATGTAAGACTGCTCCCATGGGGTTGGAAGTCGGAATGGCTAAAGGCAAGGACAGGCTAGAGCCGGGGCATGGGTTGGGGAAGAAATAGTCTCTCTGCTTTCTTCTGGGTTCTCTTCTGTGTCTCCCTCCTCTAGCTACTGGATCCTTGTTGATCCAGGGCAGTCACAATTCCCTAGGTCATCCCTCGGGACACTCTCAGCATCATGAGGTCTGTCTACCCTCCCCAGAGGAGACCAAAGAATACACTTTCCTGGCCACACTCCCCCCTTCGGTTTGGTTCCCAAAACCAATTGGAAGGTGACGAGACTGTGAAGCATGGTTCTTCTTGGGTCGCCATCACAGCTACATCCTTTTGACCATGTCACAACCCTGCCACCAAAATTGTAGCTGCAGACCCCCAACTAACAGAAGTCACTGGATGATGTTGACTCAGAAGAGAAGGAACATGGGCCATAAATAAAATCCTGTAGATTCAGAGACCAAAAAAAGTCCTTAACCAGGGTTGGGGTAAAGGTGAGATGAAGTGAGTTGAGGGCAGAGAGCCAAGTTGACCTAAGAGGGAGACTAGAATTGCAGAACTTTTGAGCTGGAGGGATCCTCCCAGATAAGCCGGCCCAGTGCTTCCTGAAGCATGGGCTGTGTACCACTAGCATACGCAAAATGATTTTAAGTAGTACATGGGCATGGCACTAATTAGCATTGAGCCACATAGGAAATGATTCCCTTTGCATTTTTCTCAGTCCATCTAGTTACTTCAAGGAGAAAGTCTTCATTAGAGCCTGGTATATCTTTGACAACTCTTTAACATGTGCTAATCTTGTTTTAATTAAAAAAAAGGAGAGGGGGGAGAGAGGAGAGAGAGAGAGAGAGAGAGAGAGAGAGAGAGAGAGAGAGAGACGCAAGTGCCAGTCTATAGGTCCAGATACTTCCACAGCAATAGTATCTAGCTAGAACTTGACAATTGCTGTTTTGTTGCCTTTGTACTGATTTTTATACTTACTTTCTATTTAGGGTGACTGATTCTGGTTTTCTATTTGTGATGATGGCAGGAAGTTTTTCTTTTAAAAGTTAACCATATTAAAAGTGAATCAATTTAGATACAAATACTGTGAAGGTGAGACAGATACCAAAAGTGTGTTGCAGGTCCACAGGTAACGAAGTCAAGGAAACCAAGCCCAGTGGTGTTTCCTCCACTCTGGGGAGCACTGGGGTCCCAGCAAAGAGGCTGAGACAGTGGGCACTGAATCTCTCATGCCTGCTTCGTCCAGCACAGAGCCTCGCTATGACAGGGGAATCTTATATGGTGGCTTCTGTGCAGTTTCCTTTTTAAAAAAATGGCAGAGGTTTTGCTATTTCAAAAAGCTTGATCAGGCCTCAGTTCCTCATGTTTCAGGCCAGAGACTAAAACCCAGATAGATAAAATGCATTGTCAATGTCCGCAGGTCAGCTGGGAGTGAACAGGAGAAGGACCACCTGGTCTGCCTGATCCCATGACATCAGAGGGAGAGATGGGTGAGGCAGAGCGCTGGATTTCAGCATCCCAGGAAGTGCTCTGAGACCTGTTGGGACCATGTACAGCTTCTGACACAGGAACAGCTGGGGGCTCTCAAAGATCCCTGTCAATTAGCTAAGACCTAGACCTTTAGGGACTGGTTGAGAACGTCTCACCTTAAATACTTATCTCTTCTCTCTCAACAACCCTCTTTGGGCTTCCATAAAACAAATAGAACTTGCACGAAAACTGCCTCTGTTGGGACATTGGCTGTGAGAACCAACCTGAAAACCACCTCAGGGAATTCTGGATGGGAGATGAACGCACTTAAGTGTCTAGAGTGGCGGTGTGGGGGTCCCTGGGAATTATGGGACTGGAAATGCTTGCTAGGTCTGGGAGCTAGAAAGTGGTAGAGCATGGATTTTGGACAGTGTGGGAGATAGGGAGGTGTTGGTCTGTAGGTCCCCCTGACACTGCTCAGCGCCCCCAGAGGGGATGGTGGGGTGGGCTCGCCAACAAAGGGAGGATGGACACATCTTCTATCACTGCAGAAACACAGGAGGGAGGGAGGCTAAAAGAACACAGGTTGCACTTGGGAGATGAGACGGTCACTACACAGTAACACACTGAAGGCACCACCCACGCGTATGACATTTTCAGTCCAAAGCAGTTGGAATTTGGTGGCGGCGGCGGCAGCAATGGGCTGAAGGGAAGGGAGCCGCAGACTGGCGGTGAGTGGAGGACTGGTTAGTGTGTCTGTCTGGTCTCAGAGGCCAGGGGGACATGCCAGAAACCGGGCCCCTGGGTCCCCTTCTCGCCTCTCGTTGACCTTTCAGCTGTGATATTTCTTTTAATTGTTCTCGATGTTGCCGTTGATTTCCTAAGTCTTGAAGATTTGGGATGAAAATGAGTTTGCTGATCTTGTCTGTTTTGTAGTGGACTCACATTTCATTTTTCTTTTTATAAAGAAAAGTTATTTAATATCCTCTGGACCCTCTCCCTGCCAGCAAAGCCCATCCCTCCCATGTCCATAGTCATGGTCTTAATGGGAGTCCTAAAATGCTCTCTCTTCCCCATCACTGTGAGTGGGTTCAGGATCATTTACGTTTTGTGAGTTTGAAGGTTGTTTGTTTGTTTGTTTGTTTGTTTTGCTTCGGACATGGATCATATGAAAAGGACTAGAAATAGAATGGTTCGGGTCCAGCTACTGTCTCACGTTCGTCAAAATGGTGTGTCCACACCACCACTTCTTAGGATTAGAAAACGCTACTAAAGTGCAGATTTCCTCCCAAACGACTCCTCTTTTCAAGTACACCCATCTCTGGTGTCCCCACATTTTCTCCCCGCCCTCCGCCCTGGCTCGTTCACCCAGAAATGGACAGCTCGTGGCAAATAGTGTATGTGCTCAAATGGACAATTTCTCTATATTGTGCTACTGTTATTTCTCATCATGGATTTTAGTTTCAAGTTAGGAGGAAAAGAACAATTAGCCCCACGCTTTGGGCATGTGAGTCGGCAACCTTGGGCCTGAGGCCGAAAGAGTGTGCCTCAGTTTCCCCATTTGCGGTACTGCTGGGCGTCCATGCTTCATTTCTGCTCAGTTGCCCGCCAACACGTGTTAGGCATGACCCAGGACAAGCGTGATTCCGTGTCACCAGTGGGTTTCTGGTCGGTGGGTGTGGAGAGTGAGTGGTGGGTGGCTGTGTGGGGCGAGGCCAGGGAGAGTGTGGGCTGGAAGATTTTTTTGCCTCTCAGTTGAGTGTGGTCTCCAGGACGCTCCGTGTGGCGCCAGCTCAGACAGTCACTTCTGTTTTGCTGTTGGTGATGAAGTAGGGCTGTGGGGGTGGGTAGTGCTGGGGGCGAGTTCCCAGGGGGTCGCTGGAGCCGGACTCGGCAGTGCCCAGCTTGCCCTTGCTGCCGTAAGCCTGCCGCCGGAGAGAATGCTCGCTGGGGTCCCAGCCCTTGAAGTTGGTGTTGGAGTTGTAGGCCAGGGGGTGTGAGGATGTCTTGTTGGTGCGAGACTTTTGTCCGTTCTGCTTGGCGGGGCCGTGCTCGGGACTGAAGGACCGCGACTCATCCTCCACTCTCACGGGGTGCAGAGGGAGGTTCCCCTTGGCCGCCAGCTCGGCCAGGTGCCGGCGCTTGGAGTAGAAGTCGTCATTGGCCTTGTCGGCTGAAGCGTGGGGCAGGTGGACGGAGAAGGGCAGGAGAGAGTAGAGAGAGGGAGAGAGGAGAGAGAGAGACAGTTAGGGACAGGCAAGTCAATCTGAGAAATGGCATCAAAGTAGGCTACAGTCCAAACGACACACACACTAGAAACTCCACCTGGAACAGACAGAAGGAAGGACAGGACCGTGTCCTCACAGACAAGAGCAGGACCAAGGGGGCAGGGCACCCTGACAGCACCCCTCAAATAAGCAATTCCCACCACACTTAACCCTAACACTCTGTTATCCTTGGTTTTCTTATAAAATGCAAGAGTTGTTTCTCCATGATTAAAATCATGCATTCTCCATAGAGAAAATATTGAACATGTGGAGTAATATTCCTGTCTATCCCCACACTCACGAGAGCCCATATCAACACCTGAGTGTATTTTTTCCTGGTCTTCTCAATAAACAGAATTAATTGGGGATTTTTATTGGTGTGTTTGCTTGTAGCAGTCAAGCAGACCTGTGTTCAAATCCCAACTCTGCCTGCTACTAGCAGCGTAACTATGGCTAAATGACTTAACTTTTATTATCATCGGTTTCTGCATAAGGCACGTATCCACAATAAAAAGCATATCCAATAGGATTGTTTGGAGGGTTAAATGATATGATGTGTGTAAAATGCTTAGATATTAGCCACCACCATTATCATCATTATCATTATAAATAGCTGATTTCTCATGTAATATTCTATCAAGCATGCCCCCCCCCGTTGTTATAAACTAGTAATAAACAGATTTTAATGCCAAAAGAATATTTTATTGAATGGAACTATTAAAAATTAATCAATGCCCCTGTTGATGAACATTCAATTGTGCCAATATTGTGCTAATAAAGATAAAGCTGAGATGAGAATCTTCTGGATTAAAGCTCTCTTTGCACTTAGAATTTTGAATTTAGCATGATGTTAAAAATATTTTCTTAATCTACATCAGAAGATGGCAAACTGCAGCCCATGGACCAAATCCAGCCGCCGCCTATTTTTGAAAATAAAGTTTTCCTGGAACACAGCCACACCTATTCATTTTCCAGTGCCTGTGGCGGTGTTTGCTCTGCAGTGGTAGATTTGAGTCCATGTGACCCAGACTGCCTGGCCCACAGCCTGGAATATTTACTATCCAGCCTTGAAATGAATTACCTGAAGTGAAATTACTTTTAAAGGGTGTGAACATTATTAAGGCCCTTGATATATATTGCCCACTGTGCTACAAAAGAGTTATATCAATTTCCACTCCATTTCACCACACTCTCCAGCATTGGTTTCTTTCCCTTTTCTCTCTTTTATTTTTTTTTACTGTTTCTTTCTTCTTTGTTTCTTTGTCTCTTTCTTTCTTCCTTCTCTTCCTTCCTTCTCCTTTTTTCTTCCTTTCTCTTACTTTCTTTACTCCTTCCTTTCTTCTCTCCTCATTGGTTTCTTTCCCTTTTCTCTCTTTTATTTTTTTTACTGTTTTTTTCTTCTTTGTTTCTTTGTCTCTTTCTTCCTTCCTTTCTCCTTTTTTCTTCCTTTCTCTTACTTTCTTTATTCCTTCCTTTCTTCTCTCCTTCCTCCTTCTCTCTCTCTCTCTCTCTCTCTCTCTCTCTCTCTTTCTCTTTAAGTTTCCTTATTTATGTATTTGATAAATTTGTGATACCTCTTTTTATTTTCTCTTACAATTATTTCCTTACTAGAGGCCCAATGCACGAAATTCGTGCAAGGGGCTCGACCCTGGCAGCTGAGGCTTCATCCGGAAGGTGGTCCGGCTGTCTAGTCTAATTGGCATATTATGCTTTTATTATTATAAATAAGATCCTCTACACTTCTTCAATTAATGTCTATCAATACACCTTTAAATGTACATCTTTTGAGAGACTAGAAATATCTGCTGTTTTTTCTTCCACACTCAGAGCATCCCATTCTATTACACACGTGAATTTATTTAAATTCATGGGGCCCACCCCAGTTCCATGTTTCTTATCTCCTTTGATCCTTTCAACAACCCCAATTTTAATCCCTGCTTGATGGATTATGAAACTGTCGATCTCAGGCATGTGAAATGATTTAATGAAGGTTACCCATAGCTAATGGCTGAGCCAGGGTAGAACCTAAGTCCAGTAGACATCATTTGATGCTTCTGAAAGGAAAAGCTTTGGTTTCAGAGCTGAGTGGGCAAAAATGCATTCCACTTGCCCCTCTGCATCCATGGTAGACATCACTCTTTCATCACAGGGCTCTTTCCTGGCAAGTGTGGCCTCCACTCAGACTCCTTCTCAACACGACGCCCCAGGAAGGCACGTGTTGACTTTCCAGGCTCACTACAGTTTAAGTTGGGTTTCTGTTCCTGTCAATGTACACAACCCTGACAGACACAATCTTTCAAGAGAAAGTCCTTCTTTCTATAAATCCTAGAGCTGTCAGAAGATACAGCATGTCAGAGCCAGAAGGAACCTGGGAGTCTGCTACTGAAGATGCTACAAGCACACACACATTCATGAAATGCCACGCATTGCTCAGAGCGGCATGAGTGAGATCAGATCTCCATCTTTCTGCCTTCCAGGGGAAAGTTCTAGGTTTCCAAGGCCATGAATTTCCCATAGAAGGATGCTCTGATATCCACCCTGAACTTCAAAGTTCACGTATCCAGTGACATCCAGGACAGAGTCACTGGCATCTCCCAGTCTAGGTGGCCCAGCCTGAACCCATCAACATTACCTGGATCTGTTCTTCAGGCTCGTCCTTCTCTCTGGCATAGAAATAGCAGCTCAAGCCACAAACATGGCGCTGTTGCCAACTCAACCCTCCTCTTCTCCCCCAGCACAATTGCTGAACCACCAAGTCCTTCTAGCCTTGCCTAACAAATACTTCTCTAACCTATCCCATTCCCCTCACTTTGAATATTGCTCCACTCCCTGCCTCGAGTTTCACCTCCCCGGGTGCATTCTCCACACTGCAATAAAAGGCATATTTCTAAAATGCAAAACCAACTGTGTCACTTATTACCAAAACCTCTGCGAGCACTTTGCTCAGTCATTTAGTCATGCATCAAGTAGGCATGGGTCATGCACTGGATATGGGAAATATAAGGCAGACTCAGAAACAGACGTGATCCCTGCCCTCCTAGGGAAGGACAGACAGTGACCAAATAGTCCCACAAATTGCATAAAAGTTAAATATGGTTTTATGATAGTGCTATGAAGAATATCTGGTCTTAGGAGTACGATGAAGTCTTTGAGTTGATCTGAGAACCAGATGTTGGAGCTCAGCTGTCCCACCCCTTCATTTATGTAAGACTCTGTTATTTGTCTTCAAGACATAGCCAAGGTGTTGCCTCCTGATTCCCTGAGACTCCCTAAGGCACCACAGCTCTATCATAGCACTGTCCATGCTGCTTTATAGGTTTCCATTTTCACATCAGTGTCCTCCCACTAGACCATGAGTGCTTCGATAGCAGGAACCCTATCTTTCCAGCTGTACAAGTCAGTGGCTCTCACCCTTGGCAGTCCATGGGAATCCCATGAGGGAGCTTTTAAAGATTTCAGATTCCTGGGCCCATCCCCCAAACAATTTAATCAGAATCTCTGAAGGTCTGGCTCAGACATAGATTTTATTTAAGTCCCACCCCTGGGTGATTCTAATGTGCAGGCAGAGTTGAGAATCTCAGGCTGAGCCCCGGCATCTAGCATAGTGCCGGCGCATAGATTTTTATAAAAAACTAAAAGGCAGTGACCTCCCATCTCCCTCCTGTTATCCCCAACTGCCTCTCATGTCAGGTACCCCTCCCTTTTAGGAAGTCTGACCAGGTCAGATCCCACCTTTGGAGGCTCTGGTCCATGGCACCGATCATGCCAGCCACTTCACACTTCTTTAAGCAGTTCATTTTATAGGGCTGTCAATTCTCAATGCAAACACTTTCTAAATGAACAAAAATGGGGTTGTAGTTTCCAAACCCCTTCAACTTGCTTTTCCCTTTAACGATATACCACAGGCATTTCCCACTAGAGTTCCAAGAAGGTAAAGAAGGCCAGGTCTGACTTTTGCTTTATGGTTGCATAGGCCATGTCCAGCCTCGTTCCCAGCATATGTTAGATACTCCATAAATAAATATTCAGTGAACGACTGCATGAGCAAAATAACATAACAGAAGAGAGAATACCAGGGCAATTGTTGGAGTGGATACTCCTTTCCCCTCTCCTTCTAGTAGGCAGTCTCTTAATGAAAGTCTCACTCGTGGTCATTATGCCCCCAGGCATGGTCCACAATCATTCATTCCCACGTTTCCCTTTCCAATCAATGGATTAGTCTAAGGTCTGCTCAGAGCAAGAGATGCCTTCAAGGGTTCTTGTTTCTGACAAGCTGAGAAAATTGATTATGAAGTAGATGTCCCAACAGCTGAGATAGGTAATGTCTTTTCCAAAAGTTCAAAAGAAAATAGTCAGAGAGGCCTTCCACTCTTGCCACATCAGTGCAGGTATGGGGAGCAGCCCCCCCTTAAGAGGAATCCTGGAGCTCCACAGGGAAAATCTACACCCTTCTCCACTCCCAACCCTGAATTGGTCTCCTGGTGAACTGGGCATCAGGTACTCCCTGAGCATAGGAAGTTTTTAGTATGTGGGATAAGAGTGGAGTGGCCAGGAAAGTCTGTAGGTCTGGAATAAGACACATCTGAGTTTCTGAGACCTCGGGAATGTCACGTAACCTCTTAAAACTATTTCCTTAGTTGTGAAGTGAGGATAATATAAACGACTCTCCAGTTTATCATGAGGAATGAATTATATGAGATCTATAAGCTACATAGCACAATTCTGAAATATTGTAACTTATATTGCTTCCTGGCCTATGAAAGAACTGGGCTAGATCCAGCAGACATTTATTGGGCACTCACTCTGTGCCAGGCCACCTGCTAAGCACAAAGGAGGCACGCATCCAAACCAACCATCCCTCTTTCATTTCTTCCTTCCCTCTTTGCTTCCCTCTACCCCCACATGT